TATATTTTGTGGGCGAAACGCAGCATAATATTCTTTGAGGCGCTTTACTACTACGGTATCTGCTGGGCTCAGACTGGGAATGTGTTGCCTTGTGCGGAGCGTGACCCACAGAGAGAGGGTAGAGCAGAGGAGAGAGCGAGAGAGAGAGAGAGAGAGAGAGAGAGAGAAAGGCAGCGGATCTAGCTGAGAAGTTTTGCTGCCCTGTGCAAAATACACAGTCACTCCACTTTGCCACATACGGCATTCTGTGAAGCGCTTTGAGACGTCTCAACGTCGCGATAAGGTGCGATGTCGAATGCAAGGATTATTATTGTTAGTTTCGCCCACAAGATACAAAGCAAAATTCACTTTGCAATGTATTCCGTGAAGCACTTTGAGACAGACGCCTGAAGTACGTGATGAGGCGCTGTATCAAATACAAGGATTATTGATATTATTAGGCTTACAGAGTACTGTATATCACACCTCTCTTTCCACTCATCCCACTCACAAACCAATGTCCTGTGTGTGAGTTTCTTATAGTCAAGCGCAGGTTCTCAGTGCCTTTGAGAGGCGCAAAGAAGCAAATAAGTTACTCACAGCTGCCTGGGACCCCAACCCCCCCCCCCCCACCCCATCTCAGACTCCCCCCTGGGACCGCCCCCACTCCCCCCACCTTGGGACCCCCCCCCCCACTTCGCTCTTTCTCTCTCTCTCAGAGCCCTGCTTGGAATAATATAAAAATAATCCTTGCATTTGATATAGCGCCTTATCACGTCTTATTGCAACGTCTCAAAGCGCTTCACAAAATATACTGTAAAGCGAATCGACAGTGTATTTTGTGGGCCAAACACGGCGGCCAATTACGCACAGCAGTAAAGAGGAAAAAGTGAGCGAGACTGGAGAAAGAGAGAGAGAGAGAGAAAAACAGAGAGTGGGATTGAGTGATTAAATTATTATTTTTCTTTTTGGAGGGATTATTAGCCCCGGAAAGCGATTTGCCAATCGACTAACAACCGGGTTCCTACTTACTGCTCAGTAAACAGAGGTTGCTTACCATGTTAAGTAGGTCTCCTCACTCACCCAACCTCCCACCCCAACTTTCTCCAGGTCAGACGGTTAAGGAATTGGGTTTGAAGGCCTGGGAACCCCTGCAGTCGGTTCAAAGGTTGAAACCAGTCATTTTCACTGGTAAACTCATTTAGTGGGTTCTGGGTCAGGGAGCTAGGCTGGTTGGAACCGATTTTGCCTTAATTCACGTTTGCACAGAATGCACGTTATTCCTTGTGAAGGGCGTTATATAGAGGTGACTTGTTGTTGCTGCTGTCGTGGTTGTTGTTGTTCTTGTGGTTAAGTGAAGCTCTGATCCTTATTTTTGCTGGTGCATGTGGTCGCTGGTGTTTTTACCTATTACAAGAATAATCCTTGCATTTGACAGACGCCTTATCGTGTCGTTGAAATGCCTCAAAGCGCTTCACGGAGTCGTGCGGGGTAAGGAAATGTGCCTAAGGTTCAGCCCCGCCGGGGAATCAAACCCTGGTCCTCTCGCTTGCGAGGCGAGCGTGCCAACCACTACGCTATGGGACTCCGCTGTGTGTGTGAGTGAGTGAAAGAGAGAGAGAGAGAGAGGAGTGAGACTCCCCTCAAAAATCATAAGAATTCCCCCTCCCTCACACCATCTCTCCCCCCCACCCCCAGTTACTCAGGTAGGCTATACCTGACCAAAGCCGTAAATAATGCTTGAGGTAATGTTGTGTCTTTGGAAAGGAGGGGGTGCTGCTATGTGAAATATCTCCCCCCGCCCCCCCCCCCCCACCAAAGATAGTCACTGCCTCACTCACGCAAAATAAAATTCCCTGCAAGATTCAACCATTTGTGTGTGTGTGTGTGTGTGTGTGTGTAATAAATAAAATCATTAGCAGCATTCAATGGATATGGTGTTAGCAGAGAGCGAGAGATTGCCGCCACGTACATTATTAAAACATGTGCAACATATTCGCTGTGCAAACATACTCTCGTCTATTTTGAAGCGTGATAATCCTTACATTTCTATACTTTTTGGGGTCGCTTTAAATCACACACCAAATAAACCCGGCGAGTTCGAATCCCCACGCCACAAATAAAAAATAAAATTGCTCGCTCACTCCACGGCTGATTGCGGTGACTTTTTCTGTGCACAAACTGGCTCCTGTGTTCACCCGCAAAACCCACCAAATTTTCACTTTGCGCTGGCCAAAAAAAGAAACTTAGCCATTCACTTCAGGTTTTTTTCTGTGCAAATTGTTGGCTTGCAAAAGCACAGTCCCTGCACTCCGCCATAAATTCTTGTCAAGCGCTTTGAGATACCTTCACCACGTGTCAATTGCAAGGGGCTGATTATTACAATTATTATGTTAACTGGAATCTACACAGCATTTACTGTAAAGCATAGTGACTGCGTAATCTTTGAAGAAGGGCTGTATCAAATGTAAGAATTATTATCAAACAGCAAAAACAACAGCAAATTGCAATTTTAGCGCCTTTCATGTTGGGAGGACGTCCCAAGTTGCTGGACAATGAGAGGTTTGCACTTTAACAATGATTAATATTATTTTTTATTACATTACATTTAATATCATATTTTTTACATTTTAAGTTATATTAAATGTCGTTGCCCACAAAATACATAGTCACACCACTTTGCAGCATATCCTGTGAAGCCTTTCAGGCATCTTGACGAAGTGATAAGGCGCTATATCAAATGCAACAATTATTATTCTATATTATATAATCATAATTAATTATTATTAA